GTATAGCTTTTCTTCTTAATTCCCATTCATTCCATTCGTACGATCTCACAATTGTTGGTGGCAATATGTGTGTATCAGTCTGTGAGCTGCTTTCAGATTTTGTAATTGGTTTTATATAATGTTTGTCAACTTCTCTCATCTAAAGAAATGGAATTTTGTAATTAGTGTTTGTAAAAAATAAATATTTTTACAAATAACTAAAAATATTTAGCTACAACTGACAAAAGATTAGGAAAATAAGAATCTTTGGACATGGAATATACTTGTAAATACCAACAGAGAAAATATGTTCATAATTAGTGAGCTAAATGTAATTACTTTTCTAGGCATTATGACTTTGTGTTTGACTTTGTTAACTTAATGTAGCAGGTGTATTTTGGAAGAGGAAAAACATCCCTTATTTCCAATTCAAACACTTCTCTCCACTTTGCACAACTGGTAGCATAAATGACTACCTTGTTGGAAATGGATAGAAATTAAATATTAGGTAAATCATATCTGTTTAAACCATCAAAACCTCTTTAGTACTTATCTTGAACTCGAAGTGTATATACATAGCAGGTTATTATCCAAAGTTTTTGTTTTAGTTTGGTGTTAGTTGAATATGTTGATTTTCTATTGGCTAACCCAATATCAAATATTCAGTAATTCCACGCTAAACAAGATATAATTGTGCTGGATATGCAGTTGTTGGAGGGCGTGGTAAAGGTTTAAGGAACTGGGGTCATAGTAGAGAGGAGGGAGAAGATATTAACTTCTTTCCCCAAATCAAGTAACAGATAATCACTGAGTGCCTACCATTTGATACATAATTTCTGTCTTTAAAATTATGACATAGTTAAGTAGATAAAAACAAGTGAAAAGACAATTAACAATACTGTACAAGGAAATGGCAAGTAAATAATAAGACAATAAAGACTATATAGAACATAGAGGGAGAAAACTCACTTCCATAGGTATTGAAGGTCACTGAAGAACAGCTGGGGATTAAATAGGCCAAAAGAAAGGGAAAAACAAGACGGGGTGTGTAGGGAAAAATTGTGCTTTAGTAGAAAACTATGCATTTTCTACATATAACACATCTTTCTAGTTATATGATTCTAGCCTTCCATTGTCTTTGGGCTATCTTACAACTCCATAAGTTGTAAATAAGTGATAGAAAGGCCAAATAACTTTTGTCTATAGACATGCACAGTCAATCCTATCCGCAGAAGTTCAACTGACTTCCTTTTCCACATGTGGAAAAATTAGTGTTGCCTCAATCTGCACATTCATTTGAATATTCCTGATCTAGGAGTAAATGTGTCTGTTTTTAGGAGTCTCTTTTGAATTGGTTATAACATCTACCTGGTTCCCTCACTGATTAATGAATAGATTACACTCTTTAACACATGTTCATTTTTTATATCTGTATGAGAATCATAATTTTACCCATTTTTGAAAATTGCCTTTTAACAAGTAGAACATCAGAGTAAGTAGAACAGGTTTAAGACTAGTATATAACTTATTGTTCTTCTGACACTGAGAGATCATGGAAGGAATTAGTAGAAAAAGAAGGATAGAAAAGATATGTAGGCCTTGAATCCCAGGCCAAGGAATTTGGAGTTCATCTTACAGATATACCACTGAAGAGTTCTGAATTCAAAGTAAAATGATGAATGAATTTTTTCAATTTGCATAAAAATTAATTACTAAAATTTTCTCTATTGTAAATTTTCCTCTCAATTTTTTAAATAGTTGGCTCCTGCAATCATTTTTTCTAAATTAGAATTTTGTAAAACATAGTATCTAATTGAGCACAAAATTACATATATTAAACCTAGGATAGCAACATTTATAATGCTCATCAAAAAGAATTACAAGCTCCAGGGACTCTACAACTTGACCAAATTCCAGAACCACTGAGTTGGGAAATTTAATTTAGTAATAATTTGAAGAGTGAAACACACTAGTTTTTTACCATATATTTATGGTAAAGAAAGCTTTAAGGCTTTCTGTGATAAGTGGCCATATCATAGCTCCAAAATAATATAAATATACATATATATACACACACATATGTATGTATATATATACACACACACATATATTTATAAACATTTTTATTCAAAGGAAATATATAAACACATTTATAAGAAAGAAAGGTACATTAAAAAGTCACATGATAGTACCCAAAGTGATTTACAAATTCAATGCAATCCCTACCAAAATACCAATGACATTCTTAACAGAAATAGAAAAAAACAATCCTAAAATTCATATGGAACCATGAAAGACCCCAAATAGCCAAGCAATCCTGAACAAAAAGAACAAAGCTGGAAGCATCACGCTACCTGACTTCAAAATATACTACAAATCTATAGTAATCAAAACTGCCTTCTGGTACTGGCATAGAAACAGACACATAGACCAATATAACAGAATAGAGAACTGAGAAATAATTTACACATTTAACAAAGCCAACTCATTTTTGACAAAGGCACCAAATATACATTGGAGAAGTCTCTTCAATAAATGGTAGTGGCACATGGTCATAAAGTGTTGTAAAGGACATTGGAAACTAAGAAGTGGGGAGGAAGGGAAGAGGATGAGGCATGAAAGATACCTACTGGGTACAATACATACTTTTCTGGTGATGGACACCCTAAAAGCCCTGACTTCAGCATTATACAATTCATCCATATAACAAGAACACTTGTACCCCCTAATATTTTGAAATA